TGGGGAAATTTGCGTCGGGTTACGACCAACTCGGGATACGCCCAGAGTCACGGAACGCATTAAGTTCGTATTCCGAGGTACCACTGTATTTGAAAGGGAATCTTCTAGCAGTAAAGTGACAGTTTTCTGGTTCAATTAGCTGATTGCTGCACATTTTTAATTTAGTGAAATGGCAGGGAAAAATCCCTGCCCAACTCATGCTCTCAAATGTGATCTACAGGAATGATGCATACCCCACCCACAGCAGTTATTTTTCCCCTAAAGTATCCATTTTGCTTTTTAAAATCTATGCCCAGATGAACATCAGCCTCACTGTCTGAGTTTTCATCAGGTATAGGAGAGATATTTGCGAGGTTATGGCACTCAGGTCCCTTCTTTAAAATCCAAACTCTCCAAGAGGCCCCCAGTGTCTTACCCACTCTGGGGATTGGGGGCTGCAAAGAGTTTGCTGGAGGACTGCTTTTGGCGCAGCTAGGCCCGTGTTTGCACAGAAGAAAAAGAAGAAAAAGTTAGTTTTCTTACTCCCTTTGCTGACTTATTGTTCAGCAACAACTTGAGGATTATGGGTTTCCTACCTTTTGACTAAAATATAAGAAGAGAAATTGTGGTTACGCATTCTTTAAACGTAGGTTCATACCTGTGTTGGCTTTACATATAAATCCTTTTCTTTCATGACAGGGTGATAATTTCCAGATTCCATCTGCAGTTCTCAAGGCAATGCAGCTGTTTCCTTTCCATTGACCCACTTCAGGTTCTTCAGTGCCCCAGTTTGAATACTGAATTGGGGAGCCATCAAACCATACCACCATAGCATCTAAGGGCAACAGTAGGGATGTCACTAAATAATTAGGAGACTCCAGAATCCATGCACGAGACCTCACAATTCATTTATCATTTTCTTCCTTCCTAGGCATTTTCTTATATCAAAATTACACCTCTGAATGGATTTGGGGGGAAATATCTGTGAACGAATCACTACATTTGCATTGTGATTTGTTCAAAAACTAAGTGGTTCTGGGGCCTTGGAAATGAGGGAAATGCCCTTCTAGCTGTAGTCATCTTCAAGGAAGATTGTGCATAATAACTGCAAGCTATTTCTTGCCATACACTATTATCTACTTTAGTCATTAAATTTTTATGAAAATTCAATTTACTTGGGAGCTTTCCATCTATTTTCTCTTTTTATGACATAAAATTATAGGTAATTTGCAAGCTACTCAGAGCCTTTTCGAGGAACTGGACTGTAAAGTAAACAATGAAACAAAAAAAACCCCTAATGTACTTATTTTAGGTCCAAATCAATTTTTAGTTCAGAGGTAATGCAATTCTTCTCTATTCTTCCACTTTTGTATGTATGTAAACCTTTATGTGGAATGCAACAGAATGTAAATATCTAAATGGATTTGTAAGTATGCAAAACATAGCACCTTCCTGTCTTATATTAAGTAACTTTAAAAACCTCAAAACTCCCTTATGAATCCGATGAGTTTGAAAAATATTTTCACTAAATGTTTAAACATGGGATATACAGACAAGGAATGTTGGTCCTAACAAAGGTGATATGAGAGCCAGTGGGAGATAATGGTTAAAGTGTTGAGCTAGGAGTAGGGAGACCCAGGTACTAGTCAGCTCAGAGAATGGGCGATTCACTCTCTCTCTAGCCCAAGATACTTAGCAGAGTTGTAATGGCGGGTGGGGGGGAATAAGAGGACGGAGCACTCTGCACATCACCTTGAGCCCCTGTGCAAAAAGTGGGTTATAAATCTAATAAATAAAGTACAGAGACTAATTTATTGTCCACATTCTTCCAAGCTTTGTTAGAAGGGAAGGCATGTCAAAGTTCAAGAGGGGGAAAAAAAAGAGTAAAGATTGTTGAATAGGAAACCCCCCCCAAACTGGCTTACTTTCCACAGCATTTATATGAAAGTAGTAATAATCAGACAAATACTTAGCTCATTGCATAACTGAAAATGCACTACTTTAGGAACTAAGGGATCCTGTAAGCAGAATATAAAGTAAATATAAACATTTATCATTTGCATGTTGTTAACTGGTGGTGCAGCTAATTTGACTACCAAAGAAACTACATGTACAGTATGTGTTCGTTGCAGAAGCCTCAAACAGTTGGATGTGACTGCATTCTTTCCCCGCTTCTGTTACTTACTATCCATAAGGAACTGAGTATTCAACCAAATCATTTCAACCACAGAGCCAAAAGAATGTAGTTCTTCTAAAAGAAAAGCATTTTCATCTCTGCCTTTAATTGTTAGAAGGTTAGAACCTGAAAATGAACAAATGGCAGATTTATCATTAAGCAATCATATTTAGAATATAAAAATACCCTTACCCAAGATTTTACTTTTAAGTTTACTTATGATTTGCTTTAAAGAGAAAAAGGAACAATTCATCCCAACTTATGATTTGCTTTAAAGAGAAAAAGGAACAATTCATCCCAACTCTATTTGAGCCACATGTTGTTATATGTAACATTATTTATTTAATCAGTTTGCTGCCAAGATTTCTGGGTTAAGATTATAAAAAGACCAAATGAAACAAAACACAATGTAAAGCCTAGAACAAATTAAAACAGCCACAGAATAAAACCAAGGCAAACCCAGAAGCACAGAACAGTAGCAGTACAAAAACTATATTTAAAAAAAGGAGACTAAAAAGTCTGGAAAAATCATTTTTTTCCCTGCACGGAATCCAAAAAGCAAAACGTGGGCAGGAAATTGTGCTTGAAAAGGTCGATCCCTAACAGGGCACCACCACTGAAAAGACCTTTTCTTCTAAGAGCCTTGCTCAGGCACTCCCACGGAGACCTCAAAGTGTGGAAACTGGAACACACGCTGGGCCCAATCCCGGCCATTTTCCTGCCTCAGTGAGTTGCAGCTATCCCTCAGTTTCAGGGCTGAGTTCAAAATCCTTACTGATTTTAAACTATCTTCCCACCCAGGATCTAATGAGTACCTGCTTTCACAAGTTTTTCACCGAGGGCTTCCTGCATGTTCCCCAACTGTTGAGCTGCAGTGGGTGGTCATGGGAAAAGTTCTCTCAGTGGAGAGAAGTGCCTGGTGCCTACATTGATATCCTTCTAGCCCAAGTCAAGTATCTTTATTATGGGTCACAGACCCAGGCAACAGAAAAAGAACATGTTACATATGTGACAAAAAGGCTTGGGATCATGCTTGGTCTACTCTGCTATTAGTAATGCATGAATTCCACAGGCTACAATTACAAACTTAGCAATGGTTATTTTAGGATTTTTATATGCCAAAAAAAGCTCTACATAAAATTCCTCTGTCTGTTCAGAACATGGTCTAAAAAGAGGAAATAGTAGTTCATTATAAATAGCTCAGTAAAAATTAAATAAAAATAAAACATGAGCTCATGATTCAACACATCTTCATAGAAGGAAAGTCCTTCTACTTAGGGAGTTTTCCAGAATTTATCACCCAGCACTGCTGACAGCAAGAATTCCAGCCCAGAGAAAGATTTAAAGTTTTAGTTTCAGACTGAATTTTCAAACTTCTGTTGCATTATTTTATGCTGTTTTTAAGTAGTTTTTTATTAATGGGTTGTTGCTAGATTGGGAAATGATAATCATACCTGTGTAACTCCAAATTCAATGTCTCCCAATTCTTCCCTGGGGCAATTTAAAGTATTAGATTTGAAACTTAAGTCAAGCATGGTTTAAAACCAGATTTTACATGAAAAACCAACTTTCTCTACCTGTATATTAAGATTTTCAACTGATAACTTCCAACACTGATATGGGGTGAGTGATTAGAAGGAAGACGGTCTTCTCATTAATGGGACCACAGGTATGGAATCCTGTACATATACCATACCGTATGCTGTACACAGAGTATGGAATGCTGTAACCAGAAAGATGTGCGTTTATCTCTTACTGCCCCTTGGACATCAAGCAAACTTTTTCTTGACCTTTTTAAAAGCAGCTTTACTCCAGCTGACTTTCTTATGCTATATCTTAGTAGCTTTTAGGAACAAAATTATCAACATTTATTTATTTCTTACTTACACTTCTGTGCTACTCCGGTCCAAACGGCTGAGTGGCATAGAGGAGTAATAGGTTAAAAATGATAGAACAAACAAACAATGGTGCTGAACATGCAATCCAACAGGGGTAGGCCCCAAATTTAAAAGCTTCTTACCTTGCCTTTTGCAAAATTCCAATGCTTCATCAAAGTTCAGATTCTCAAAAATGGTGGAAAAGCTATAGCAACTGTTGTCAAACCTTATCCAAGGGACGGTCTTTTCATCACACAATCCCTTATTTTCCATTGATTTCTTCTCTGTGACAAAAGGAACAAGTATTTTCTAGCATTACCACAGACTCTGCATTTGTTCATTAATTTTGCATTTGTTTATTCATTTGTCAAACCACATGATTTTAATGTCAGTCATGATTTTGTGTATCCTATGCTTTGGGCATTGGCAGAAAATTGGGCAACTCTGCTACTATCTTGTTTCCTAATGAACCCCCCTCCCCCCAAATCTTAAAGCATCACATTATTTTCATTATTCCTGATTCAATTGCTGTTTTCAAAAAGGGTTATATTTACCAAGAGCATTTCAATGTTTAACATAAGAGCTGACTTACTGGGTGAAATATGGCAAATTGCACCACTCAAAAGCTTTTCACAGTCAGTATTTCTCCAGCGTCCATTAATATCAATGTAAACACAGTGTCCTGGACTTTGTGTTTCCTCTTGACCCAAAAATGTAAGGAAAGGGGTGGTGCCATCTGACCACTCAAAATGAAGGCCATTCTGCCGAAAGAAGTATTTGATTAGTTTATGTGGGTCATTAACTCGAGAGACTTTTATGCAACAACTGCAGTCTGAGGAGGTGCTTCATGCTACAGAAATAAGGCAATTCTTCTTGAAGTAAGGAGCAGTGCAAGATTCTTTGGTGAGGTGACCTGGTCTTGTCCAGTGGTTCCAGTGTCTGGAGGAGGCTTCAATACATTTTCTAAAGCCTCTTCCAGTTAACAGAGCTGCCAGATAAGAGGCTTAGGGCAACATGAAGTGAAGCAAGGTGCCTGCTTTGCTTTTTTGAAGCAGGGGAAGGGTGCATGTTACTCCATAAACAGCTTCTAAGCGGTGCTTCACGTGAACCTTTTTTGAAGCAAAGCATCCCTACCAAGCTGTGTCCTGGTCTTTTTACTAATTACTTACTTGGGATTGATATCCTTGTTCACCCTCTTTTCCAAGGCAGGGATGTAAATTATTAGAAAAGTTATTTTCCCTGTTTCATATTCACAGAAAACCACTAATCACTCTTAAGAGAGAGGAAGCTGCTTTATTCTATGTCAGATCATTGAACCTTCTTTCTCTTGTCTGTACTGAGATTTCAAACAGGAGTGTTCCATTTCTTGCCTACAAAATATGGCTATTATCAATGAAGTGAAGCCTTTCCCAGTTTAAAAATGTAATGTTTTTCAAGATATGGTGGCAAACATAAAGACACTGAAAAATATAAAGCTGTGATCAAGTTTTTTTTTTTAAGGTTTTGTTTCCATGGACGTTTAAGCATATTAGTGAATTAAGAAATCTCATTCATTCATTCATTCATTCATTCATTCATTCATTCATTCATTCATTCTCTTCAATTCCCAATTTATTAGGCTGAGTCCAACAAAAGCTTCCTGCAGAGCAAAAGAGTAGAAAGTCATCAGTAGAAAACTTTTAACCCAGTAGAATATTTCCACTGGCTGAATGGGAAGGAATCTTTACCAGTTCTCTCTTCTGCCTGCAAATCCTTCTGTTATCCTAAAGGTGCTCCTGAGCATTGGAGACATCCTGAAGGAGCTGGATGGAGGAGCTCTCAGAATGGTATATACAGTCCACAAGCAGAGATATACAGATGTTACATTATGCCATGTCCCTATGTACGGGGTTTTACATGATTTACATCCACCCTCTGGGGGTGGTAGTGGAATTTCTCTATTTTTACATAGCGTATATCCTGTGTGGTGTTTTCAGTTACACTGACCAGCCAGAGGCACCATATGATCAGTTTCATCCTCTTTGGGACACATCAGATGTTGGTACCCAACTGTTAATTGTATGGGGTTCAAGGGAAGGGATATATAGAAGCTCTCAGAATGGCATTCATGTCTGATGAATTCCAAAGAGGGTGAAACCAGTCACGTTGTGCCTCCTAGTGGTCATTGTAATTGGAACAGGAGAAAAAAACCCTTAACCCTAACCCTAACCCTCCTTTGCCCTCCACAAGGGAGGGCAAACAGAACATCCATTCTAGCGTTATCATTATAACCTTCATTAACCAAATTCCACTCTAGGATAAAATATAAAAGCTCGGAGCCTACAATTTTATATTTCTACTACTGTGTCACAGTGTTACATTGTTAGGAAGTACTTCTATCCTACGCTTATTCTTGCCTTAAACATTATCTTCACTGGGTTAAATTCACGAAGAGTTAAACTCCAAAGTATTTTTGTATACACTCACTGGATATCTTTAGTTCATCTTCTGATAAATGAAATTTGAATGCACTTAATAAACTATACCAATTGGACAAAGATTTTAAATACCTACATCTGAAGTGAACAATCCAATCCAGTGAGCATAACCCACTCGATTTATCATTACAGTAAGGAAAGCTTGGTGGTAGTAGTCTGTAATGCTGACCAATTCAGTCCCAATTTTTTTGCACATTTGTGAAGCCATGTACCAAGTCATACTGCCATTGATCAATGTATATGTCCTATTTGCATATTCTAAAGTATCTGGTATTGGGTACATCACCAAAGGATCGATGATCTGTCTGGAAGTATCTGTGATAGAGAAGATCAAGAGTCAATTGAAAAAAAAAAAATTAAAAAGCTTTCTAATTCAATATCTAGAGTTAAGAAATTAAAGATTTTCAAACAAGGTGTAGCCATCTCTGAAAGAAATATAAATGACAAGTATTGTAAACTATTAAAGTGTATAAAAAAAATAAAATAAACCACGAGGTAGATGAGTACTAGTGCTAGTCAACTTTCCCAAACTGGTATTCTCTAGATCTGCTGAATAACATGAGAAGCTTGTGGAAGAGTGCCCCCACCCGCCTGCGCTCTGTAGCACCTGCGCTCTGTAGCACCCGCCTATGGCCCCCACTGGCCTGCCTGAGCTCAGTTGTGCATGCCCGTGCCCTCCAATGGCCCATCTGTGGCCCCCAGTGGCCTGCCTGTGCTCAGTAGTGCCCATCCATGGCACTCACCCACCCGCCGGCTTGCCCAGGACTTTGGCTACATGAGGTCCTCTCTTAACGACCTGCGCAGTCTCTGGGTTACGATAGCAACCAAAACTACCAGGATTGTTGTTGCTGTGCGATGCTGTCCTGTGACATCACGCTTTATGACTGCATCACTTAGCGATGGAAATTCCGGTCCGAAATACCATCATAACCTGAGGACTACCTGTACTTTGAAGGTTACAATTGAGGTTATACCTATAGCACCGAATCATCTAGAAAGGTGTTCAAACTTATGCAGCTGCCATATTCACTCTTCTCTTATTTTTAATCTGTAAACAACTGCCTATAAACAGTAGGTAGGCATTCCAATTTGCAGAAAGATGTCATGACTCTTTTAGTTTTTCTGTACACTCTTGTCTCATTTTCATCCATCCTTTCATATCATCAAGCAGAATATTTTCTTCCCCTAGACTGCAGTCATTCAGAATTTTGCATAATTTTCCCCAAAACTGGTTCATCCATTATCACCATTCACCAAAGTATAACATTCAACAGCTGCAAATTTCTCATCATGGAGTCAGAGAATATATTGGACTAGCAGCTCCAACCACACAAAAATGGCCCATCCCAGAAGTAGGTATTATCCATTCTATCTGTAAAGGAAACCCCTTGGCACATATATCTGTACAAAGCATCTCAAATTGAAATAGAAGTGTTTGTTTTCTTAAAGCAGACCTCCTTTTGTGAATTGGAGCCCTGTGTAGCTTTAGATCAAGGATAATTGCTGGGTGGATCATTTATGCAGTGGATTTCACACAACACAAGAGATTAGTAAATTAGATTGTAAAGCTTAGCACATTTTTATATAAATAAGGATATAGCAATTTACCTTGAGCCTTCTGGCAGACAAACCCATTTTTGTTCCCACAGTTTTCGAGGTACCACTTTCCCATTAAAAAGAAACTTGGATTATTTAGTATTGAAGTACATAGTGCAACTTTTTTTTCAGTATCAGCAATGTAATGATTCTGAAATTAATATATCGTGATAGAAATCAGTGGTAAAAGAAATAGACAGGATTTTTTCCCTAGCCATTTTTAATAAAAATGATAATCAGAGTATATATAAAAGAAAAGTGGGAAATGCCACAAAACATTGTATTGTGGGCTGTCCCTTTTCATCCCCCCTCCTCCTAGCTTTCTGGTTCCCCCAATTCATTGCCTTTCCAACAATTAATATGCAGTGTTACTAGCCACACTGCGCATTTTCATTAGTTTTCTATCTTCTATAGTATTTTTAGAAAAAAAATGTTTAAAAACTCAGTAAAACACACTAAAATATTTTAGTATAGGAATGTGATATAGAAATAGAGTAAACAAACACATAATAAATCTTACGGTTTATTATATATATATTTATTTAATCTAGTCCTAGTTTCCTGAGTTTGCTAATGTTGCCTCTTATGCACAATAAATGCTGTTTAACAGCTTGTAATACTTCCTTCTCTTGCTATTATTAGCAATCCATGTGATAAGTGAAATAGGATGTATTCTGCAAATTGTGATAAGTTTTTTGTTTTTAAGATAATAAAGTCCACCTGCTTTTGAAGTATAAGACTTCTACAGCCATATATTGAAATGTTATTGATATTATATTATTATTAGATTTATATAACAGTTTTCATTAAAGTAAATATCTAAGAAGTTTTTTCAGCAAATTATAAAATATATAAAGTACCAAAAATTATAAAATAAAAATAATACACAATTATTAGAGCATTTAGGGAAACAGAAGATCGAGAGAAGACAGAAAATCAAGGGAAAACCCTGACAAATAATTATAATTTTAATATATGGTAAAAACATTTCATAGTAAGAGCCCACTTAATCTCCATGAGTTTTTGCCACACTGTGGTGTTAGAGAATGCCTATCTCCATAGCACAAGTCAATGGATTGTCAACAGGCTATGAAGAGACCACGGTACAGGAATAATTGAAGTAGTGGCCTAGGATCATGAAGACCCAGATTCTAGTCCACTTTGAACCATGAAAGTTCACTGGATAACTTTAGGTCAGTGATTGTAAATTTGCCAAACCTATGTCCTAAAATATTGCTGTTGGGAAGTTACTCAGAAATATACCTGTCACTTGCCCTTTTGGAGATAAGGCAGATATGTAACTCTAATGATTAAATAAAGCAACTTCCTTAGTGCAGTTGTGATAAAAGATTAGCAGTAAGTATGAATGTGACCAATATGGCTTGCTCAAATTATTAAAACAAATTATACCTTAGCTCAGTGCATGAGCCCAGCCAACAGCAGACCCCAGAACCTTTCAAGAGTGTGTACTATTGGGAACACATTAAACTGAATATGCAAGTTTCTCTGCTTTAAGCACACAAAGAACCCTGGTGGAGTAAATCTGGGATGACTTGAAGAACCCTGGTAGCTGGGACCACACAGGGGAAGAGAATTCACTGATGCTTCTTTCCAGCCACAGGACTGTACAACGTATGCCCATCTCACATGTCCTTCTCTTTCCATATATACCTCTCAGGAAGTAAACACACTCTTGTGCTTATTGTTGACTTTGGCAAAGAATACACTGTATCCTCTGTTATTAGAAACACTTGATAGAAGGTAGGAAATATTTAATTAAATGAATGCCAGAGTTCACCCATAAACATTTTCCATTCAAGCTTTTTTTTTGAGAGAGAGATACAGTTTGCAGCAATAATTTTCTTCGGATTTTACAGTCTCAGTACTATATTTCCTCTGAGTTCTCCTTCTTGGAATGATCTTAGGTTAATCCAAGACTATACATTGCATATAATTTCCTTTCACTGACACAGTTCATGTTTCAATAATGAATAGGAGAGCCATCAAGGAACAGCAATAACTTTACTGCTGAATTCATTAAATAATCTTTGGAATGCAGAATCTATCAACAAGATCCCACAATTCTAATTATGATTTTCTTCTTTCCCCAACATTTGTTTATGTTAGAATTGAACTACCAAATTCATTTTTGTCCCTTTCATAGTGCCACCCAAACTCAAATGGAGTTTTTTTTTCGTAACTTATAGATAGTTCAGTATTCTATGATTGTACAAAGCATTCAAAAGATGTGCTTCACAAAGCTCCTTACACTGAACAAAGCATGTCTCATAGAAACTTTAAAGGAGCTACATTATTTGTAAGCCATCATATGGCTGCTTTGAAAGGTGCTCCCATCTTCCTCTGCATGTGTATGCAAGCCCAGTAATTTCACCTCACTGATGTGTTGCACATGCTCAGACAACTAGGAACATCCTTTGAAATAGTCCTGTGAACTCTGCAAATGATATAACTGCTTTAATACTTTGGATATGCTTTGTTTGCATTAATACACTTTGCAGAGCACCAGAGTTGATATTGGATATGATTAATAATGAATGGGGCAAACACCTTTCAGACCGTTGACTATACTGGGAACTAAAAAAAAAAAAAATCCCAGAAGAAGGCAGACTATTTCCATAACCCTTATAGCAGATGAGCTCGACTCAAGAGCATCTTTGTCTTTACCATTTTTAATGGACATTTTGCATAACTTCGTTATTCCTAGTTAATACCTTCTCTAGGAAAGAGCTTTCTGTTTTCACATTTTCCCCAAATTCCTCCCTCCTCCCTTCAATCTATATAGGAAATATGTTCATTACAAATAAAGTTACTGGAAAAGGTACAAAAAAAGTAAGACTACATTGCCTTACTTGTGCTGGACACCAGTTGGCATATCCTACTTCCTGTCCATTAAGCCATTTTTCGTAATTATCACTCTGCAGACCAATCCAGACACTAGATTTATGTCCAAACAGGTTCATTGCAATGAAGGCTAGAAGAGAAAACTAGAATTCAGAAACTTAATGTCTGCTAAATGATTATTTTTAAATTAATAGTTACTGAAATTATTTGGAGATGAAAAGTAAGAAGTGCAGACTGATACAACTTTGGGGGAATTCCAGAATATAATGGTTTCTTATCAGTCTGGAAAGAACATACATACATATCAAAGGTAAGCAATATTAGGATAGATAGATAGATAGATAGATAGATAGATAGATAGATAGATAGATAGACAGACAGAC